AGGTGTTGGTCTCTTCTCCCAAGTAACCAGCAATAGGACAAGAGGAAGCGGCCTCAAGTTGTGTCAGGGGAGGTTTAGATTGGGTATTAGGAAAAATTTCTTTACTGAAAGAGTGGTCAGGCATTGGATCACTGCCCAGGGAAGTGGTTGAGTCCCCGTCCCTGGAGGTGTTCAAAAAACGTGTAGATATGGCAGTTTGGGACATAGTTTAGTAGGCATGGTGGTGTTGGGTTGACAGTTGGACTTGATAATCTTAGAGGTCTTTTCCAACCTTAATGATTCTATGACTTTATGTCAGATTGCATCCTGCTACAGAAACAGACGTGGAGACAAAGATTTGCTTTTGTAACACAGTTTATTCCATATCTTTCTTTCAGTGGGACACAAAAAGGAGCAATGCAGAAAAATGGATTTTACTAGAGTTTCAGAGTCTGGTTTGTCCCTTGTTCTGCAGGTGAGCCCGTAACAGTGAACTGAGGAACTAGGACACCCATCTTACTCAGTCCTGCATAAGTGAACTAGAGGAGTCTCCAGGTTGCTCCTTCTTGTCCCCAGCGAAGCATTTAGAGCAGGGCTGCCATCCATGCTGCCTGGATCTCTTGCTGATATGCTTGGGGTCAGGGAGGGTCAAAGGGTACGCCGCAGATAGCAGTATCATTTTGATACGTACTATTTCATGGCAATTTTTACCTTCTGAGCTGGCTGAGATCTGGATTCTCACCTGCAACAGCAGGTCCCTGCCTGTTTGCTTCCCTGGTCCTTCCCTGGTCACTGGCACTGAACAGCAAGCGCTCCCTGATGCTCTCCCAGGCCCGGGATGGCAACTGCTGGTGTTGTTCCGACATGTGTGCCCTGGACCGTGCAGCTCTTTGGGAGGGCGATGCTGACAGAAAGTAAAAAGCATCTCATTTTGCATCTTCCGCTGTGAGTATACTGCATAGTTCACACTGAGAATATAAAGGTTGTTCAGTTAAATGTGTTTTATGTTTTGATTACCTGAGCAGAATGAAATTTTTTCCTAGCTTTTTTTTTGAGTCAGACTCTCCCATTGACTTTAAAGCATTTCCTTACTGTTGCCATAGTTTTGCTTTTTACACCCTGAAACAGACAGAGAAGCCCTAGACTTTGCTTGAGAATCTCTGCAATCTGCATTAATGCTGCTTGCAAAAAGCATTGCATGTGAATTGTGGAAAGTTTTTCTGTGAAGCTTTTTGGTTACTGTATTCATCTTGAGCTCACTGGAGGCTTTCAATCCAAGCTTTAATTGAAATTTTTAATTTTATTCTCGCCAACTTTGGGTGCTTGTGAGCACAGGCTGCATTCATAGGTGTTGTAAACGCAGCTCTTCAAGAGGAAACAATTCCAAAATTTTCCAAAATCAAGAAGTGTCTTTGATAGTGTTTTTCACAATTTTTTCTGAGGTCAGTGCTTCTTTCCTCATTAACAACAAAAGATCGTTCTGTTGACACTTGCTTAATATGTAATAGTAGCATTAACATCTATATAGTAGTTATTATACAGTGAGAATAAAATGATCTGTCTGAACAGAGGATCAACTGGTTTGCTATTAAAAATCTCTAGAAAATTTAGAGAAGCTGCTGGTCTAAGTCGTTGTTGTGTCTCCTGAAAGAGCTCACGTATTAGAAGCCCTGGCAGGTAAAATCTGAGAATCTCTACTTCCCAGAGGTGTGAAGTTATCTTTTCTAGCCCAGGACCACAGTGAGTTTTCATGTTTTAATTTTGTGTGTAGAAAAGTGCATTTTGATTTCACATTGAATTTTACCCAGCCTAAACACACATAAACTAACTTGCTGAAAAGCAGTACTGAGGTGGAGAAAGGAGAGAGAAACTACCTTTAAAGATAGATTGAAAGATAAAAAAGGCAAGTGTTTGATTTTGGAAATAGCTTAGTGTTTACAGTCTTGGGTGCAATCTGGTGGGATCAACAAAGTCATGTAGCCCAGAGCTTCACACTAATCTTCCTGTGCTATCATTTTTCATCCTGAAAGCACATTTGTCACTGAATGGCATTGACGTTGTTTCTGTATCAGTCTGATATGTAAGTGTAAGTTATAGTAGGTAATTGCTGATGGGTGCCCATTCATGGGTTAAAAAGATACACTTCTTAAGGAAGCCAATGCGTTGTTAATAACCCTGTCATGTTTCCAGCAGACAAGTCATGCATTAAAAAAAAAGTGAATGTTTTTCTTTTAAAATAAGAGAAATTGAAAGATTAAGAAAGTATCAAAGGAAAAAGACAGCACTTACAATGAGATGAGTACATAACTCCCCTGCACAGAACATAGGAAAGCAATTTTGCTACGAGATTCTGAGTTTGCTAGCAAATCCAAACACACGTAGTGTTTCATATTATCAGGACCTGGTTCTTCATTTCATCTCACAGTTATAGACAATTAAAAACCCATTGTTCTAGATATTATCTATACATATATATTTACTCAGTGCAATTGAAACATACAACAAGAGAGATTTAATATCCTCGTAGAATAGAATCATTTTCACATAAAGACGTGTGAGGACAAAGTTATATAGAAACTATGGAAATTAAAGAATTAAGACACTGTACAAAATATATTAAAAAGTACTTTGTCATTAGTAACTTCTGAAAACATGCTCACTGATACATGGGCTTTTGTAATTATTAAGGTAGTGTGTGGGACTTGGCAAGAAAGCAGGTCAGCAGGTGCTTGATTATGGAACATGATTATTTTGCTCATACAGTGCGTTGAAAGAACATGTATTTAATGACTCTTGAAGGTGGATGTTCTGATGACTGTGTATTGAGCTGTTTGAATGATTAAAATTCACTGTACACTAATTACCTTGAACTGTCCTGGAGCTGTGATGCTAAGACCCTAAATGAACAGGAGAAGGAGCACTCCTGTGTAGCAGCGTCTCTTACTCGCAGCTCAGTCACCTCTGTCTTTCAGAACTTTTCCTGTGCACACTTCTCCCTGTTGATGAGTTCAGAGTTTGTGGCAGAACCACATGCTCCCCTCAAGCAGAGCACTTACGAAAAAGAGCTGTAACTACCCGGGGTGGGGGGGACACCACTGGTGTCCCTTGCCTATGGGTTTGGAACCTGTGCTGCCTGGCGGAAGGCTTAACAGAGCTCTTCAGTCCTTGCTTGTTTGCTTCGTGAGCAGATTCACTCTGGCTCTGACTGTCCCCAGGGACTTTATCTTACTACTTATTTTTTGTTTGTTTGTTTTCGGAAATGTGCTGCTCTTATGAAGTTGCCCTGGCAGTGTCAGTGGAACTCCAGTGCGAGCAGCATTAAAATGAAGTACTTGTAGAAAGCCTCTCTGCAAATGCTTGAGAAGTTCAGCTGTAAGCATCATGATTGTTATGAATTGCACAATCCAGTCACAGTTGCAAACAGATGAAAATGTAATTAGCAGAAACTATAAGAAGGCTCCTCAACCCTGTGTGCTCTTAATCTTACTGTATTTTTCTGGCCAAGAATTAAGGTACCTACTTAAAACTTTTCTTGATTGTTCATTCTATCTTGCAAGTACATACAGGTTGGAAGTGCCATTTCACAATAAATTAAGGTATATTTATGACAAGAATATTTAAAATGCCAATTCTATAAAGCTAGGAGTTGCTAGTGTTTCTTTTCACAGTAAGTTTTACTCTGCATTGCTGTGTATTCTTGCTTGTTCAAGAGATTGCTGTACAATACAGGAGACTAAATTTTAAACGGGTCTGATGACACAAAGCCAGATGGGCAGTGGGAGGTGCGTGTCTTTGTAGACTGGTGTTTAAGTCATTGCTCTTGGGGACAGGGTGATATCCTTTACCCTTCCTGTCAGACAACAGCAGCACTGGTGTTTGGGATGACATTTTATACTTTTAATTCTTTGATAGAATGTCTTATTTGCTACCGTAAAAATGATTGGGTCAAGGCAACTGTTGATGCTGCAGATGATCTCTGTGACATTGTAAATGGCACGTAGTGTGCTTATGTTCCCACAGGGTGGTTGACAATTAATTTTGTAAATTAGTACCACTATCATCATAACGTGATAAGGTATGAAAGAAACAGCAAACACAATCATAGCGGCGGAAATCAGTAACAGAGGTCTAACGAGTCTGTTCCTTCTTTGCTGGCGTTTACTGAGTTCTAATAATGCTTTGAGAGTCAACATATAGCATGTAAAGATGACTGTGACTGGAATTAGGAATCGCAACACAATCTTGGAGAGCGTGAATGGTGCTGCAAATTGTAACAGTCCTGCAGTGCCATCCAGGGAGTCTGTGAGGCCGTATTGTCTTCCAGCTGCAACTGTGTAGTAGATCTCCGGCATTGACGCAATCACTATGAAGATCCATACTGCGATGGTACAGGACATGGCCTTTCCTTTGTCCCACCATGTTAATGAAGTGATAGGATGGACAGCACCTACATACCTGTCAAAACTGATGAGGGTCAGGAAATAGATGCTTCCATAGATATTAATACTAAAAAATAGTCTTATGATGTGATAAAATGCTTGATTGGAATAGGCATTTAACTTCTGGAGACTATAATACACTGAAAAAGGTGCCATGAGAGTCCAAGTCAAGTCACACAGTGCCAAATTGAAGAGAAATATGATATTGGTAGTCCATGTCTTCATGCAGTACACATAATGTCGTAGTGCAAGTATATTGCCTAGAAATCCCCCTAATAAAGTGAAAAGGCAAACCAGAATCAGCACATAACAGTACCACTCCATATTAGGATTTCTCTTGCAAATGAAAACAGTGCATGTGCCATTCATCATCTTTCCTTGGAGTATGCCTGAAGGGAAAAGAGAGACCAACAGCTTTTCAAATAAAAAATGAGTTAGATTAATTTAAAATTCAAAACTTTTAAGTTACATCCAGAATGTTTGAACCAGCAAAAGATTTCCGAATATGGTATGATGTACAAGCTTTCCTCTATCTGAAAAAAAGGTGAATTCCAAGTAGGTAACACTTAAAGCTTACTCCACAATGCCAGCACAGGCAGATCTTCATGAAGTATTATCCAAACCTTTATATTCATTCCTCTCTAATATTTAGTGTGATGTATGATAGATGAGAGAAAAAAAGCACGCACCCTCAGTAACAGCAGCATCCCCTTGCCCACCAGTGTATCTGTGTCTATCTTTGGAAGAAGCAGAGGAGAGGACGGAAGGATGGTGATTTCCCACGCTCATTGCATCCTTGCTTTGATTGCCTTGAGTCTCCAGACTGGACCTAGAGGCACGTGCAACGTGGGCAGCTGCACAGTGGGCTGTATCCAGCAGACAGCATCAACACAAATCAGGATGAAATCCTGCTTGTGGTGAGGGCCACAGCAACCTTTCTATCTAAAGCGCTAGACAAACTGCTGTTTTGCTTCTTTTTCTTTGACTTTATTCTGTAAATGAGTGTCCCAGGCTAAAAGCATTGTGCTTACGCTAGGGTTAGAGAGAATTCAGTTTGTCTCACTCATGGCCCAGTTTGTATCATTGCCCGTAGTGGAGTATCTAGAATGTAGGTCTGCAGTGTATTTTTCAAAGCCTGGTTTTAATGCTTGTAAAGTCTTAGGTTTAATCCTGATGATTTTGCACTCCTAACGAAAACAAAATAAAGGCTGGAATATTCTGCCAGAATGAGCTGTCACCAATTGCAGTTATGTTTCTACAACCTCTCTCCAAACAATGCGGCAGATGCCAAACTGTAAGGTCTGTCCAAGTAGGAGCTTTGTATGAGGGTCATCCAAGTAGCAGTTTATAGAGCAGAGTCCACTGCAGTGCTTGACAGGATGACAGGATAAAATTTTACTCAGTACAAACCACACTTTGAATGGAATAAATTACTTTTTCAAAATGTTATTGATTCCATGAAAATTTTCTAACATCTTCAACCATTAAGTTGATAGTAGTGGTTTGGAATGTAATGTTTTGCTTTCATGTCAACCTTAATATGACTTTTCCAAAGGTATGTTCACAGACACAGGTCAAAATATAACAAACACGAACTACAGTGAAGACCTGCTAAACAGAGACTGCATCGTTGTGCTTTCCAAATTTATGGTTCGCCCAGGCAGTGAACTAACAAAAAGCTAGTTGGGACTGTACTCAATGAAGTTAGGAAGGAAGGCTGTTTCTCTAGAAGCTCACTGACAAAAGCGGTCAAATGACTTTCCTGAAAGTGAATGTGGTCAGAAAGCCATCTGTTCTACTCACAGTGTATTTCACAGGTGGGGAATGTTTGCTCTCTAAATGCATTTTGTAAAGTATTGAAGGACTGTACTGTGTGGATATAAAAAATTACACAAACTTTGTGTAACCTTTTTCTTCAGCTGAATTTTGTAAGATACCCCTGTAAATTCTTTAAAATGTAGCCACCATGATAGGTACAATACAGTTAGTAACATTTTATTATAATGTGTTCAATTAAAAGGGATTTGAATATGTGTAGGAAAGTTATCTTTTCCTAAAGTCCTCTTGACTGGAGGTCATGTGCGCTTTGAATTAAATGGTTTTTGATACCTTTCTGTCTTCCTTTTCAATAATTATGAATGAAGGCAAGAAGCACTTAATTCCAAGTTGTGTTGGCGGTATAAATAAGCCCTGAAGCTGCTACAAACAGCATAGCCATAGCTGCATGAGGGAATTGTAGTGCTGGGTTCTTGATCGCATCACGCTCCTGGAAAAGGTCGACAGGTAGGTCTAAATGGAGAGAGGCAGACAGCTGTGCCACCTGCTCCACTTTGCTGTGTCTTGGCTGGATAAAGCCTGGATGTGTGGCCTTGTCACTGTGTTAGGGCAGTTACAGACCTGAACTAACAAATTGCCTGTCCCCTTCATCACCTTCAGTTTACTGGACTGCACTCAGAGTTGAGGTATATGAAGTTACTTAGGATGCTGGGGTGGACTGGAACTGCACAGCTGGATAAGGTGCATTTGGAGCTCAGAAAGTCGTTAGAAGATATGTCTGTCTTTCTGTAGGCATTTCCCATGTGTCTTCCTTGGGATTCATGTTTGGAATTTCTAAAATATTCTTACTGTCTCTTATTAATTCTTTATATTATAGTAGAGCTTAGAGGCTGTAACCAAGACTAGATTCTTGAAACAGTGTGCCTTGCAATTGGTGTGAGCGATGTACAGGGTGGATGCAGGGGAACCTGTGCAGAGATGAAAAGAACCTTTCCTGAGGTAACCTAATTAGCAAGAGAAGAACACAAGAGGTTTGACTGCCAACTTAATGCTGTAACAAGAACTCCTGGCCTGCCATCAGAAGAGTTTGAAGACTGTTCCACAGTCAGGACTCAGTTTCACTGCATGTGAGTAGACATAGTCAGCATGCCCTGCTATATCCTGAGGCCGCTGGAGCTACCCTGATGTCTAGTAGATCAGCATATGTGCTGTAATAATTTTCAGAAGTGACATGTTTTCTGTATCAGACAACAGCAAGTTTTCTGTCTACCGTCTTAGCACCAGCAGAATTACTCAAGCTATAGGATGTGACTAGATCATCTTCACAGTTCAAGTCCAAAATTTTGCATTTTGGTAGTTTAAGAAACTTGCGTCTTTTGAACATTACTGTGTTCACTTCTCAGTCCATGTATTCTTAAACAAAGCCAGCCAACACACATACACGCGTCTTAGCAGTGGCAGAATGAGCAACAGCACCATAGCATTATACTTGTCACAGATGAGGAGTTGCGTATGGTGTCAGTGCTGACTAAGAACAGACTTGCCAGACTTTGATGAAAGTAGGATTGGGCTTTCAAGGCTAAGAAATAATTCCCATTTATTGAGCTTAATTTTTCAGCTGAACAGTTTCAGCCATTAATGGAGATGACCATGAACATCAAATGGACAGAAAGAGCAATCACATGATGGGGCATCCAAAATTAAAGGAATACCTTTGATTTGATGAAAGGCTTGATATTAGAATACTAGACATATGCCTAGGAAAGGGTTGAAGTTTATGGACTCCATCACTCATAATTAAGACAAGAAAGCATGCTAAATTCATGGGTAAGAATTTTATGTTTCTCCTGTAAGAAGCAGACTAATGAATCCAACCATCTTATGGGCTGTGGGTCTTAAGATGCTAGAAGAGTTTTAATTTTTAAAAAACTGACCTGTTTGATTGACTCAGTTGTTGTACCTGCTTACTGGGTTGTCTGTTCTCTTGGACCTGAAAGAAATGTGGCTTAGGTCTGTGACCCTCTGACAATGAATATCTACAAGCTCCTCTGTTTTTGTGCCCGGCAGCATTTGCACACTGTTATGGAAAGTTGGGAGGGTTTCAGCTGATGAGCTGATTTACTGCCTGGTTTCCTGCAGAGCCCTAAATCCTGGAGTCTTTACTTCCATGTGTCCCCCTTGTACCTGTGATGTGGCCTCCAAAGCCTTGGAGTAGATAGACCTTGTTTCTGTGAAAAATTACTTTTGGAGGAAACTTATTCTGGAGCTAAGAAACATTGTGTCACTGAAAAGAATCTTGATTTGGGTATATAGCTAATTGTAGCTCACAGTTTATCAGTGGTAGTCATTCATATGGCATTTAACTTGTATGTGCAAAGTTCCATCAGGTTTAGCACGACTTTATTTAATAGATGTTTAATTTTGTATGTGTAAATATATCCTAGGAGCCATGTTCTTCCCTGTTATACCTGTGGGGTTTTTTTGACATTTTTAACAAGGTAATAGTAAGCAATTAATTTGGTCTGAAGTAAAGGATTAAGCTGAGTTAACAGCATATTATATGTAATTTTATTCCTTATCTTTGTATCTTTGCACCTCTTTACCCCTTGCTCCTTTTTGCTTGTTATTCTTTATAGTAGAAGTCCTGATTTTATGTTGACTGTTCTGTTTGTTGGCATTACTTTGAGAATTTTGTTTGCCTGTTCGCAACTGTGTTTGAATCTAGTGTAAATCTATGCCAGTTACCAGATAGGTTTTCCTCATTTCTAACTATTCATACACCAACATATTTCTGTTACATGGCCTCTCAAAGCGTACCCTTTTAGCTCATCTTATCAAATTAATACATCATTTTGCAGGTAATCCTGGGTTTTGTTATAAAAATACCAAGCATTATTTGCATAAAAATATGTACATTTTTTACTTTAATATCTGTTAGGTAATCATCTCATGCATTCCCTTTTTATGTTCAGCTGAATTGATATGAAAGGATATAATGCAATGTGAGTATTAAGCAGAACATTTCACATATTTTAGTTCAACTGCATTTAGCATATTACACATACTGGTACAATGGGAACAACAAGTAATATACAGCAGTATTTGTATACAATTAGGTAAGTAGACTGTGCTAATATCCAATTACTTTCTTCTTAATGACTCTATCTGTATTGTGATTAAGCTACTGTATCTTTCATTAAAAAATAGTGTTGCTGTGCTTGCTTGAGAGTTAATGAAGTCCTGTATGGCAAACATAAGATACAGTAGAAAGATAGGTAAGGTGTAAGAATAAGCTTACCAAAGACAATATTTGTGAAAAAGTACTTTAAAAAATATGAAATTTATACATGTGTGTATATATTAATCAGTGTGTAATAGCTAAATAGGGAAAATTATATTGCTTTGGAGAATGCAGGTGCAATTAGTACTTAATAAATCTTTCTCTTACCTGTTTTAGAAAAGTTGGAATTATCTATGTTACAGAAGTCTAGATAGCCGGCTGTGCTTTTCCTCTCCATTACTCTGGACTTTCTAAAATCACACCTTTGTTTTGCGAGGAGTGTTTTTAATCCAAGGTTTCAGTGACGTTCCGTATGCAATGGCAGCTCTTCAGAGAGCAGGTGTCAAACTGCGAGGGAGAGATCTTTTATAATTAAGCCCCTCCTCTCAGCAAGTCGGCATGAATTGCTATTGCCATAGCAGCCTCTGCTTCCTTTTTAGGGAAGGACAAACTTCTGCACATCACCGTCTAGACAGGCCTGGGACTGTCATTGTTTCCAGGGGTGAAAGAGAAGAAGAATATAGGGGCTTGGGGCATGTATGTGTGTGTTTGCACTATCGCTTCCCCCTTCTTCACTGCCAGAATCCTTGTTATTGCTGCCCTACTGCTGGACTGGTCCATGGACCTATGTTGCTCTCATCCCATCACAGGGCTTGGTTCACCCCACCTACATACCTATCACTTCTACTGCTCCACAGTTCCCACCTTGTTGCAAAATCCCCGCCCTGTCAGACAACTCCCGTCCTCCAACTCTGCTTACTTCAGAGCTCAAATCCTACCTACCACTTCAGCCTGTAGCCCAGGTCTGCTCCAGGTTCTTCAGTCTTCCTGCCCCAAACCTGCATCTCCAGTCTTCAGCGGCACAACACCGGTCCTGAGACCTTCCTGTTTCATTCCCTGAATGAACACCTATTTCTTACTCATTTCCCCCACGTTGCAGCTCCACCATGTGTCCAGCCCTAATCCATGCTGAAACTGGAGTTTTCATCCCATAGGTCCCCCTTTCCCACCCACTCTCCTGAGTATTGTATTGCTCCCAACCCAATCCCATCTCCTCACCAACCTATGCCAGAGCATCAGAGAGTCTGTTTCCCTTCTTCCAGCATAAAGTACCCATTTCTCCATCCTACAATTATGAAAGGCTTCATGCCCTCGAGTCCATTCAGGTCCATTCAAGAGCTCTGGCTTCCTAATCACATTTCCCAGCCCTTTGCAGTCTCCCTGTTTCCTTCTCACCAACCCGTACTGGAAACAGCACCTCGGTTCCCTCAGGTTTCTACTTTCGATTTTGCAGTTCAACTTCACCTCTCGGGGACTGCCTCCATCCCAGACCATTCCACTTCTCATTCTGCTATGTCACCTCTCTTGATACTTCCTGTCCAGCTCCTCATCTTTGTTCTGTTCTCCCTGTTTTGGTATCTTCTAGTACCTGACTGCACCGCCTCTTCATTAGATGCCGTCCTTCACCTTACTGCTTGAATTATTGTTTGTCTTCCTTACCCTGCTTGGCTTCTGCTGTGACACTGCCTGCCAAAAGAAACTTCCCATCTCTTGCACTGGTGGGGTTTTCAATACCCCAAACAATCAAAGAAAACATTAAAAAATCCACCTGGTTTTAGCAAAGAAAAATTCTGTCTGGAAAAATGATAGACCATCGATGGTAACCCGTGATAAAACAACGATACTCTGTTAGTTACAGGGGCATGCAAGTATGAGAGGTGGTGAGCTACACAAACTATCTACTAATATCAGTAGAGGTTAAAGGAGAGCTGCTAGAGGACAGAGATGTGAACGCAAAATGAGGTCAAGATGTCAAGAAGAGTATGAACACCTGGACTGAGGTGCATGACACTCATCCAGATGAGGAAGAACTAGTATGACTGAGCTTTAATAAGAAAGTGGTCGTTAGAAATTCTGGTGAGAAGAGATTAAGGGGCTGTACCAGGAGAAAAAAAACTCTAGACAGTAAATAAACAGTGTGCCAAAAGAGTTTAGAGATGAAAGACAAAGATGTGGTAGGGTATTCTTGCAGAAGCAAGTATAGAGGCTATTACAATGCTAAAAACCAGTAGATACGTTTGTTATAGGAAAGCAGAGGGCTGGATAAGACTGGGAGATTCAGAAGAGGAAAAGAGGGATGAGAGTAGACATAAAGAAATTCTGGAAATTGGATAGAATGAAATGGTATGGGCAGGTGGAAAGGGTAAAGGGCTACAGGAAGCAAAGAGGTGAGAAACTCCTGTGTTTATCATAATGAAGAAGAACAAAGAGAAAAAGGTAAGAGGAGAAGACACAGAAGGAAAGCTAGTCCAGGAAAAATACGTTTCTGAAGAAAACAAGACAGAAGTTTCACCCATCGCCAATAGTGAGAATAAGCAGAGCTTCTTTTCAAGTGCCAAGACATACCAGTATGCTTTGAAAATGGCATTCGCTGCAACTTAAAGTATAACACATCACATAATTGAAGTGCTTAGGTCTAGGAAAAGGACACAGTATAAGATTCTACACAGTGTCATAATTTGATTTCCTAATGCAATTGGGGAAGCGTATAATGCATGTCACGGGACCTACTTCAAATATTTCACGAGAAAAGCTTTCTTAGACATGAAAAGTAAAGTGATGTACAAGTCAGTAACATTTTTTAGCATTTGAAATGAATTGTAGTGGTCTGTAATCTTTCTTAACATGTCTGAAAATAACAGTAAGGTGGTGTTGCATTCTGTTTTTTTTTCCTTTGGACTTCATAGTGTGTACCATTTGAAAATAGAATACAGAAAAAATGTGCATAAGGAATTGAGATTTTTCTTTATGTATGAATGCTGAAAAAATATTAAGACTGTAGGAGGTTATTTTGTAATATTGCAGTGAGGCATCAGAACTCAGCATTTAACAAATTTTAGTTTAATAAACTGGTAGTTGATCAGTCTTTCTGGTGTTACCTTGGTAGTAAAAATGACCACTGTAGCAACTATATTGCTCTTAAACTTGTTAAATGTTATCTGTTGGTACAAAGCCCTTTTGAAGTCCCATCTGGGATGTTAGGTGTTGTTCTTGCTGGGAGTCAGGCACTGAAAAAAATATTTCTACACCTTTCCATGATCATTCACCCACTCCTATTTAGATCATTAATCACTGCAAATAAATAGCCTTTGAAAAAGCAGGAAACATTAAAACCAAATATAAACTAGAAAAGCAGAATGGAGAGAGTGTTGTATTGCAGTGAGACTTTTGGGGATAGGACAGTAAAATCAGTCTTGCTCTCATGAACTTGTAATGTCACATTTGTGAAATGGCAAGAACATTGCTATGAGAAACAATCATAGCTCAAATACTCCAGGGAATGCTTAGTTCTCTGTGATGCAGTGATAACTTTTGGCGTACATATCTGACTAGTGAAAGAATAGTAATTACATTGTAAGTATGGCTGTAAGCTCTGTTCTGTTTTGTTATACGAATTTTTTTTTTTGTGTTACCACTTACAGGCTTATTCAGTTTGTGGCCTTGTTGTGGTATAATGGAGCAAAAGTCTACATTGAAAGGAGAACAATATTATTCTTCACCTTTGTGGATCAAGGACTTGAGTGTAGAGTGTAAATGTTTTGTCCATGATGCCACAGGAGGTCTCTGGTAGAATTTAAAACTGATTTGCCCACACTGTTGGGTGAGGTCATCCCAGGTGAGCAGTTCAGTATTATTGGAGTCTAAGACTTTTTCAGTTTCCAGTGTTGGCATTAAATGACTGGCAGACAAGAACATGTGGCAGGCTTGTACTACCACACAAAATAGAGGAGCAATGAGATTGCACAATATGGTTATCTCAGTTTTACTTATTACTAGCCATGTATTTTTGTCTACTTTTGGCCTTAAGCAAGAGTTGTCTTTGACACTGATACGTGGAGTTTACCTCTAGTACAGGCAATTTCTTTCATCCTCAACTGGTGCTGCAGTCACCTTCTCAGAAGAGCACATCATCTCTTTTTCTCATGAGCCCAAATGTCCGGAGTCCCCCATTGTAATCCATGTTTGTGTTTTTCACAACCTAGACAAAAACGTATGATGAGATCACGATTATAATGTCCTATGATATTTGACCTGGTGCTGTCTGTAGTCAGTGGAAAGGGACAGGCAACCATCAAGACTAAATGGCTCTTTTGTTACTGATAAAGCAATAACTGGTAGTAAATAATGGTTCTCACACAGCCTGAGGTACTTAGGACATTTCAAAATTTATAAATAGACTGGTTTCTCAAAACATTGCTCAAATGCCACTAAAAAGCGGCTCTTGCCTTGAGCTCTAGACTAATTCCATGAGATTTTCCCTGCTATGGCATTTGTTTTGAAGTGTTGGGCTGTAATAGTTTCTAGGAAATGGGATGGTTTAGGCAGTTGCCCTCCCAGTCCATCACTCCTTCCCATTTTTGCACAGATTTGCCACGCTACTGTTTGTTGAAGTTCAAGGTCAGCAGACTGATGGAACTAGTTCAAATGAAAGAAAAAACGAAAAAAAGGTATATTTTCTTTTTTTTTAGATAGGTCAGTTCCCCACTGTTGTTCACTTGTGCATGGCTGCTCAGGTTACTGTGCCAGCGTGAGAGCAGAGTGGGTAGAGGTGTTAATGGCTGAAACAGGGAAACATCAAAAGCTGCTTAACCAGCATGTAGAATCACATGTAGTGTATGTAAAACCACAGATACATTTTGATCAGGTACCACAGACATGATGTGGAGCATTTCAGACCTCCACCTCAGCGGTCCTGATTGTAAGAGCCCAAACCAGTTTTTCATCAGTTTGCAGGAAGCAAGCTTGTAATTTTGTAGGAATGATGCCTGTGACAATAAATCTGCCCTCCCCACACACAGTGGAATAATTGGATATAAGAAGAAATACAGTTTAGTACTCTGTGTTGGTTTTGTTACCATGTAAGCATGTATTTACTGACGGACTAAAATATGCTTTCTTATAATATTCATACCACAGGTCAGTTGCTCCGTCTGAAAATGTTTCGAGAGGATCACGGATCTTGGATGACGATGTTCTTCAGTACCATCCTCTTCCTCTTCATTTTTTCTCACATTTATAATCTGTTCCTCATTATGGCAGGGAATATGAGGTGGGTTACAGAGTTTCTTTTTGTCTTTTTACTCTAGAATGTATTCTACTGGAAACTTTTAATATTATGCTGCTTCACAGTGAACCAGAGCTTACCAAAATGTAAACATGCTAGTATTCACCATCTTTTTTTATTCCTCTGCTTTCTGCATTTAGGTAGAACAGCAATTTAATTAGTTAATTAGCCAAGAGGATTAAAGTATCAGTTATAAGAAGTGGGATACTCCACTAATGATAGCAACTGGTACGTCAGGGTACTAATGAATATTATATCTTTTTTATTTAAAATTATTGCTGAACAAATTTGATTTGAAGTTAAGGCTGAGTAGTTTCAAGAGGAAAAATATTAGTGTTGTACGTACTGAGGAAATTCAGAGTTAAAAGAAATCAAATCATCCAAAATTGAAGAAATTCACACTCAAAACACAAATATTAAATTTATAGTATAATGTTATTTTGGTTATGCACAATAATATTTGCTGATCCAGTTTGTTAAATATATTTTTTAAAATCCATTTTTTTTCCCAAAAGTTTCTCTGACAGGGCAAAGTTATTGTTGGCTGAGGGATGAACAGCTGTCTTTTTATTATGTCTGAATTTGTTTTACATGGAGCTTTTAATATTAATTTTCTAGCTTAAGAAGACTTGCTTTCTCCTGTTATCTCAAAATTAACACCACTTTCAAGTGTTGATTTTCCTGAGAAAACCTACATTATTAGCTATCTAATACATACAAAATGAGTTCATTGGATGAAAATACAGTCATGTTGCTTATGAAAGGCAAGATAGCATCTGAAGAGTTTCTGGCAAGGAATAAGAAAACCAGTGTTCAACCATATGAGTTGAAGAACAATGCAAATAATTGAAAGACTTCTTCTTAGCAGAGTATCAGAGCCATACTGACAGCATCTGATGAAGAGTTATTTAATGGGCCCTAGTGTGGTGTGTTACAGATCTGAAGTGTGGCAATGAAAATAGGCAGTTCATAAAGTCCTGTTAACAAAGTGACATAAACTGAAAGGTGAGTAGGAGGCAGACTGGGTGTCACTGGATGAATGTAAACACAGACCAGCTGGGCTAATCATGAGATTGTGACATGAAGACTAAATGTATTCATTGGAGCAAGGCACGTAAAACAGCAGAGTTACCGAGTGTTTTAGGAAGTGATCATGATGATGATGTGGTAAATATGAATAGGTGCCCAATTAGAAGCAGAATAATCATCCCTGAAATAAGGAGGGTGAGAGCATTGCAGGTTTCTGGGTTCCCTTTTTACATAGTCGTACTATTACTGGTATTATACTAAGATTTATATTTGGTATTGCTAATGCTCCATAGACTATAACCAACTGTTAGAGCATTAACGATTTTGAAAGCTTGACTCATGTCTGGAAATCAGAATTCATTTGTCCTTGTCAACATTCCTGCCCCCCATGTCTATTACAAGCTTCCATTAGCTGCACTGAAGAGTTTGTGTGGCAAGCAGTATCCATGATCATGGAAATAGGCACAGCCTAGTACTAAAATAGCTGCTGTCAGTCAGTCTGCCCTCTTGCTTTCTGTGAGGTGAAGCCTGTCCTTTCCTGGAGCTTATGCCCCAGCCCTAGATTTGTTGTGATGGTTTTGGGAAGTGGGCCATGGCACACTCAGGAGTCGCACGACCTTTTTCGAAGTGGACTGAAGGCTTGTTACAGCCGTTTTGGGTGTCCATTCCAGCAAAAGGGCAGCAAGCAGATATGGAACAATTTCACTCTCAAACAGCACAATGTAAACCATCAGTCAAACACAGCCCTTGGATCAGTCCTCTCAAAGTTGGGGTAGAACAATGTGTAGTACTTTTCAAAGAGGATTTCTACAACAAACATCGTCAAGGCCTACAACTTCATGTTGCCATAATGAAGTGTTTCAAGGAGTGGATTATTTTTTCTTGAGCAAATGTAATCCTCACGAAGGCTATTTGCTTCATGGTTTATACTTCTGTGCAAAAAAACACCTCTGTCTACGCCTTTTGCGGCAGTGCTTTGCTGAAATGGCTGACACCAGGGAGACTGGCTTCCAGGACGAAGGTCAGAGTCTGCCTGCATGGAGGTTACAGTCTTTGTAGAGACAAGCTGACCTTCGTGTCTGTGGACTCTTATGAAACGCAAACGTCCAGAACACACTTCTTCCCAAGGGCTACGAAAGCCTTACAATTACTGTCTACAAGATAGAGTGGAAAAATGTTTTGTTTTGGTTTGGTTTTTTTTGCATGTGTTTGCTCCTTGCCTTGTCTCTGTTCAGCTTGCCCTGCGTGCTGGCAGGAGAGTGACTGACGAGTTTCTCTGTGTCCAGTGTTTGGTGTCATCAATGAAAGTCCCTTCGTGTCTGACGAGGAGGAGAGTCACGTCTTGCATGTGCGTGCCAGCATGGATGGTCACAGCAGAAGCAATGTTCTGCTGGGGGCTGGAGAAACCTGTGCCAGGAGTGCTGCAAATTTTGTGGCAGATTGGAACGTATCTTTTTATATTTAAAGTCCCTCTTCTTTTTTTGGTAACGTTTCCTTTTAGGGACTTCACAGTTTATGGCACCGCCACACTGTATGTTAGCTCATTGCTCTTGTAGTCAGAGCTGAACATCTGGTGAGGAAACATGTCTGGAAAGCAGTCAGAGTATGGTCCGCAGCTATTACTTCTCACTGCTTCTCATCCCTGAAACCAGTAAGCAGAAGCCGAGCGGGGCACTGGGCCCACATCAGGCCAAATTTGTGAGACCGTCTGAAGGCCCAGCAGGGTTGAGGCATGGGCTTTGGGAGCGAGGTGTTTGGTCTAGCTAGTCCTTCTCCACAAGAAAGATGCGGAATAGAGAAGATAAATGTGAAAATGATCCAGAGGTGGGAAAGGTTCCGCCGTTACTCAGGTTGAGGTTTAGAGACGTGGAGAGTGTGGCAGGACAGAGCAGCAGCCATCTAGAGAGCAGGCCCAGTCAAGGGCGCTGTGAAAATAAGACAGAAAAAAGCTGTTCTTGAAAAACTCAAAGCAGCCGTAAGTAATGCTTTATACTCAAATGAGGAGAGAAGATGTGTTCTGGAATAGTTTTAATACTTGGGGAACAGTAAAACCAATTGTAGAGGATCAGAAAAAATACTGTCTTGTGTGATGTCAGGGGCTGAACTGTGCTGCGGGAATGAGACCATTGAATTTCCTTTGTAATCCAGAATTTTAAGTTTCTGAAGCAGCGAGAAGGGCACTGCTGATTAAATCTCCTTAATGGGTGTGTGTCGATGTTAAAGAGCGGTACGGCACATTGCGAGTGGGGCTCTGATACGGTGTGACGCGGTGTGACATGCGTTGGCCCAGGGATCTGCTGTTCACACTGCAAGTCCTGTGGTGGTCTTGTGCACACGAGCAGAAGGAAACGTCTGTCACGTTGCTGTCCATCACGCTTGCGCACGACGGTCCGTCGCACATGCACACAACGGTCCTCTGCACAGCAAGCCCAGGCAGCCTCGGAGAGAAGCTGGCTGCCATCTGAAGTGGCCCTTTGTGTCAGATCTGGCACTGTCACTTTGCCTGCTTCACGCTATTCTGTGTGCTCACATGGCTGGAAAAGATCCCTCCTGCCTTTATCCATCTTACAACAGATGTGGGAGACTGTTTGGAGGTCTTAGTTCATACTCAGAGCTATTTCCATCAACACAGGCCTGCATATAGTGAATAGAAGGTTTTTTCCATGATTATAGGCTATAAGAAGATAGTGGCCACTCTCTTGTGGTACTCAGCTTCTGCGTTGCAGGTTTCCCTTTTGCAGAAGTGTCTGTCAACTCCTGTCACTTCATCATAATGTTTTCTTTGACCAGTGCTCTGAAGAGGGGAAAACAGTTTGCTTGGAAGCTGAACCAGAGCATTGCCAGTGGTCACTGAGTGACGCCGAGAGGTGTGATCAGGAGACGTGATGATGAGCAGCGCCTGCACCCAGACATGCCCTGGGGTCCGGGCCTCTGCAGTGTGGCCAGGTGACCATCTGTCTGTGTGTCTGTCCAGGGAGGTTACTGCACAACCCCTCTGTGAACATTATGTGCCACTGGCTATGTCTGGGGCCCACCACCCAGTCTTGAACAGTGTGGTCCTGTTCGTACAGTCCTGGGCAGGAGATCATTCTCCAAGTACCTTAATGGTCTTTGGAGACGTGAATTGGGTCCTTTAAGTGCTTATAATACCTTGTGCTGTACATTATTAATAACACAGAGTTCCTGGACAAGACCAATAACTTGGGGCAAGGCCAAGGTTTCAGTTAGAAGCAGTAAAATTTAACAAGCAGGAGTGCTGTTGAACATTAGCAGCAAACTCAAACCTAGTATGTGCGAAAGTTGCTCAGAGCCCAGCATGCCCAGCATGCCAAAGTAAAGCCCTCAGAGGATTAAATGAGCAAATTGTTTTGCAGAGCAAAATTCTGGAAAGCTAGGATCAGCATCGCAGAGCTCGAAGAATTTCTTAAAACATTTTCAAAAGAGGAGTTCATGTAATGAATGGTGACAAGGACAATGTGAGAATAACGTAGAATTTTGTGATAATGTTTTATGGTATTGCATGGTTTAAAAAAAATAAAAGGACAAACCTCATCAGAACCCTCCTCTGCCTGCTGCTTGGAGGAGACTGGAGCAGTGTTGGGCTATTGAATTCTTAGGGCTTTCCTAGTGATTCCCAATTCACAGCATGCATATTCAATGAGATGCCAAGCTCCATGGTACTCTCCCATCCGAAGACCTTCCCTAGCTCCTCGTAACAGATACTCAATGCTACCTTGCCAGAGATCTGAGTTTTGCCCTTGCCTTGGGACTCATGGCCTTCATTTTTCAAAATATAGTGTGGCAATGGTATTCAGATCTTGGGTAGATGATCTGGCAACTTTTGTGTAGTGCCAGTGAGCATACTCAAGTTTTCTGACCCTTGCAGAAGATGCCTGGAAGGCCTGTCTCAGGGCATTCCAGTGGAACACGAGATACTGGTCTTGTACTTTGTCTCC